CCGTAAATTTTGAGTTTATTGAAGCACGATTAGTCTAATTAATTACTACGAACCATTGTACAGCGTATCCATACAGCGCTGTACTTAAGCGGCAGCGGTGAGGATCCATTTGGAAACAAAATGGCGTCAAATCCTGAGTTGGCGCAACTCTCTGTATACAGGGACCCTAGGGTTAGGGACCCGGAGTAGGCGTAGGCGACTCCCTAGACTCGTTAGTGGAGTAGGCGAGGTACGGTCCGGCATATTAGATAGTACCAGGGTACGTTCCGGTATACCGGACCATACCCAAGGTACGTTCCGGCAGTACCCTGGAAGACATAGACCCTCTCAGCGTTAGTATAGATTACTACCTGAATCTGGGAGGCATGTAAGTCCATTGTAATGATGTGGTCTGTTCCAGCGACTGATAACATGTTAGCCACCAGCTTTGCTGTAATTGGGGCTCGGCTCTAAAATAACAAGTATGTGTATGAAAGTGACAATGTCACCGGAAATAGTTTTAACAATTTCTTGGCAGAGTGTAAACTATGAAAATACAGTTATGTTTTTCCCACTGTTTATGGTTGAATTGCTGCATCATCCTTTTAAATTTATCATTTAATTCAATATAAAAAACGTTGCACAATATATTGTACATAGCTGAGTGATATAACAAGCAATTTTAGTGCACATAGCATTAATATTTAATACAAGTTACATATAAAGTGTGTATAATGTATGTAATATCGACTACCTACTGTGGTGACATTGTCAGTATGTTCTATACCTTATCCTTCTTATCCTGTCGTGCATATGGGAAGCATGGGATGACAGCAGTGATGCGGGTAGCGGAAGCAATCTTGCAAGCATTGATCATGACTAGCAGTTCCATGAGATTGTCGTTGATTGAACCACAGCCACTCTGCAAAATGTACACATCTTCTCCTCGCACTGATTCCCCAATCTCCACACTGAAAATAAACCATTAAAAATATGATTTCAAATACAGGCCAAAAAATATATCATTAGACAGGGTTCAACATTAACTTTTTATTTCACTAGACCATCGGGCTAGTAACTGAGGAAAACCACTAGCCCTGACCTAACTTTCAGTAGCCCAGACTCAGACCATTGTTATTAAAAACTTTATTTAGATAAGAGTGTGTCATCGTATGAATTCATAGATGCTGTTTCCTGCGCTTTAAATCGCGCGTGGGCCGAGTTCACGTGCAGCATTCGTATTCTACCGCGGGCATACACGAGCGCACGGTTTATCGATCGTCTACTGCGGCTGGCAGCAAGCCACGTTATTGGTTTTGCCGAAGGATAGACTGGTATCCGGCCTCATGCTCTGCTAGACAATGTACACGGTCTGCGACAAACAGTGCGGCCGCGAACCAGTCTAGCCAGAGGTGACCTTTCAGTGGAATATATATATGACCAATTCTAACATGACCAGTTGGGCTACTAGCACTCTGGTTGTATGCGACCGGACCAAGCATTTACCCGACTAGGTCGGTCGGACGTGGGTTAGTGTCGAACCCTGTTAGATTTATATCCCATACAAACAGCAAAATTTAATCCTACATCAAACTAGTCCGAGCCAGGCCAAGGCCAGACGTGTTGCTAAATCGCAGCATACAAACACAAAATACTTAACCATGCTAAGTTAGCACAGGTAGACTGTGCATGCTCAGTTTAGCATGTTGTCTCTTAGCAACCAGTAATGATGGTTAAACAACAGCAATCCCAATGGCATTATTAAGATTTATACTGTATTGTTGTAATAGCAAAATGGGAATAATATTAACAGGTGACTGGTCTATACAATTTGATGTAGGACCAAATTTGCAGTCTGTATGAGGTATGTATACATGTTGTCTGTATTAAACGAATAACATTCTGAAAATGGGCTTTCACTTTTATAACGTATACATTTGGTGTACAATGGCAAGTTGGAGGTATACGATATTGAGCAATGACAGATGCATATATGCTATGTAACGGCCAAACGTTTGTTTGTTTTTTTGATAATGTTTACAATTGTTTTGATAATGTCGGCCGATAACTAGCGTTGTATGGTAGAGTGACAACACGAGAGTAGGCTGCTCGCCACGAGTTGTCACTGGCTTCTTTTTGGCCTCCGTGGTTGGACACGAGTGCAGCAACGTATAGGCAGCTAGTCATGTCTAGACATGTAGTTACACCAGAGTTTACTTGTTATAGCTTAGGACAACGATTTAATATAGCCGAAGAGACGCGCTGAGGTCTATTAAATCTCAATCTGTTTTAAAGGGTGAACGGAGTTCGTAACTGTGAATGACTATTGTGAATAAATATTGTGAATTAAAGAGCTGTAACCAAAGATGAATAAACGAAAGAAATATACCGACACCCTATGTTACAGCATTGTTGTCTATCAGCGTGCATTCGTCAAACCGACCGCTATATGCTACATGAGATTTACAGGAAGAGCAGGAAGAGCAGCTTGCTAGTGGTACATCGTCGTGAATAGTACCTT